TATATATATATATATATATATATATATATATTAAAAACATAAAAATAAAAATGTTAATAAACAAATTAAATGTAAAATAAAACAAATAAAATTAGTTATAATTAAACTATAAAAAAATATATATTAGTGGCATAGATAACTAGTGTAGGTTTAGTCAGTTTCTGAGGGCGTGTGATTCATGTGAAATTTGTTCTTTCATTTCTTTTCCAGATAATTTGTGGAATTGTGGTTTGGAACTAAAAAGTATTTCAGGAAGTATTTTTCTCTTTTATCTTGAAATTGATCACAGGGATACTCTCTGTGTGTCGTGCTGTTGTGGTGTGTGAGCAGTAATAAGCTCTGTATCTGTCTGATGAGCTGCTGCCAGTCTCAGTTTTTATTCATGTAAATTCATGGACGCTCCGTGCTACACTGGGCACATGCAAATTGGCAGAGGGGTTTTTATTTTGGGAGGAATGCAAATATAGGAGGGGAGGTTTTATTTTTGTGGTGATGCGCTCTGCAGATCAAGCCGTGCGGAAGGATTTTGCCTGATCTCACTAGCTGGTTGAGTTTGTTTGTGTGTATTGGTAGTTAGCATCATTATTTAGCAGATGTGGCAGCGCTTCAAAACGTTACATTGACAATAGTCTGTAACTAGACTGTCAGCAGAAAGTCACATGGAAGTTTATTCAGGCGTCCACTTATACAGGAACGGTCCGTTTGACTGATATTGACAAACCAGTTTGTTTTTTTTACATGACATTTAAGAGGCCAGGACAGCTGAAATTTGGATGTACACAGCGTTTCCTTGGTTACAGCTGTAAGCAAAGCAGCTGCACTTATTAAAACTAAATGCATTATACAGAGGCAAGATGAAAAGAAAACTAAGTAAACTTTTCTGAAGTCAGTCAGTTCCCCACAGAGATACATTCATATAAATCCCCAATTCAATATTCAGGATTTTCCTCCAGTATTTCGCACATTGTGAACAGTGAGCTGCTCTGCCAGCTGTATTTTCTCCTCTTTGCTTCCATCTTCAGCATCTCTGCCTCTGTTAACGTCCTGTTTACACACTTTGTAATATTTCCACACAAATGACATTTTGAAAATTGATTGCAGTGCAGTTGGTGTGCAAGTCTGGAACACCGATCGGCTGAAAAAAAAAAAAAAAAAAATGGCTGTTCGACCGGTGCATCTGTACTCTACTGATTAAATTAAATGTAGATTAATCATTGTTAAAGCTACAAAGTTACTTGCATGTAGTTGTCTTTCGCGTCTTGCTGGAATGCTTTAAAATCGCTTGAATTTTTAAATTAACAAGTGACAAATTCGTCAACTGTCCCGAACGTCTTACACATCTGGCAGTCCGTATTGTCGAGCCCTGGATGTAACTCTGAGAATAAAACAGAATTTATATTTTAGGTATGTATGTAATATTTAGGTATGTGTGTATCTATATACGTAGACAATGTTTGAGGTCAACAAGTTTTTTTTCCTTCTTTCTTTTTTAAAATAGCTTATTCTGCAAAGAAGCATTAAATTGATAAGTGACAGTAAAGACTTAAAATGTTTATTTAATATAAATTCTGTTCTTTTTTTGAATTTCTTATTAATTAAAGAATGCATAAAACCATTTCCAAAAAATGATTAAGCAGTACAACTATTTTCAATATTGAAAATAATAAGAAATGTTTCTTGAGCAGCATGTCATAGAGTAATGATGCTGACAATTCAGCTTTGCATCAGGGATAATTTGCATTTTAAAATGTATTCAATAGAAATTATTTTAAATTGTAATAATATTTCATAATTGTAATAATATTTTTTTGCACTTTTTCAAATAATAAAATAATTTTTTTGTATGTTTTAAAAAACATAAAAAAACTACTGACTTCAATCTTGAATGTTTATATATGTGATTTTTTTTGCCTGTTTTATCATCAGCCAGGTAAATATTGTAAGTCAGTAATATGAGTATGATCAAATTTAAACAAGAGTAATAGCAAACATTAGTAGGGATGCTCTGATCCGCCTTTTTCGCCTCCGATACCGATTCCGATACCTAGGGTTCGGTATTAGCCGATACAGATACCGATCCGATACCAGTGAAGTTTTTTTCCCTCATTTAAATAAACTTAGAATTTATATATGTAATGATGCTGACAATTCAGCTTTGCATCAGGGATAATTTGCATTTTAAAATGTATTCAATAGAAATTATTTTAAATTGTAATAATATTTCATAATTTTAATATTTTTTTGCACTTTTTCAAATAATAAAATAATTTTTTTGTATGTTTTAAAAAACATAAAAAAACTACTGACTTCAATCTTGAATGTTTATATATGTGATTTTTTTTTGCCTGTTTTATCATCAGCCAGGTAAATATTGTAAGTCAGTAATATGAGTATGATCAAATTTAAACAAGAGTAATAGCAAACATTAGTAGGGATGCTCTGATCCGCCTTTTTCGCCTCCGATACCGATTCCGATACCTAG